GGTTAACTGTTTCTCCTGTTTCATAAGGCAGTGATTTCAACCTATTCCACTCTTTGTCTAATCACAAATGGCCCAGCCCCTTGTTTCTGACCCTCCTACTTCACCTAAGAGTACTTCATTGCTTCATATGGCCCTTCTGGACTCCCTCCAACCTGCAAAGAGGAAGGATTCCAACCCCTTTCTGGCCCTAACAGTGATCTCTCCCCCTCTTGCATGTTTAGCACCTCCCATCCTTTTCGGGACTGTAAACCCTGTTTTCACATCAAGCAATTCTCCTTCCTTCCACCAACATCATACACAAATCACACTCACTTCTCAACTTCCTATTATCTGGCTTCTTTCCATCTCCAGTATTTCACTAAAATGCTTTCTCAAATGTCTTTGACATTTTTCTACTGTTCCTTCTCAGTCTCCATTACCTGTGTGCATCCTTTCCTTTCTGGCTGTTAAATATAAAGATTCCAGATGTGCTCAAGTGTCTCTTTTTTCCATATACACCCCTCTCTATGCACACAGCTATCCCTCAGGTGTCTGGTTACAAGGGGAGAGACCATCAGCAGGGATCACAAGCCACAAATGCATATGCTCTAATTATTGAGGCCTGTGAGAAACAAGGTTATACTTTAAGGTCACAAAGAGGGCCTTCGGCTTCCAGGAAGAGCCACCAGAAAAAGAGAACATCTCTGCAAAGTATCGTAACGGTTCTCACAAATGAGCCTTTTTTAGTTTTCCAGTGCTGTGAGACTGTGGAAGTAGACACAGCATGCCAAGAAAACCCTTTTTGGACAAAAATCAGAGTTGTCATCCTTGTCTTAGTCTTGTGACACTAAGACCAGCTTACTGGGGCACTCTGGTGCAAGACAGAATGCAGAATATATTCTCTAGTCACTTTCAGTTGATTCACACATTCTTGTCATTTATGAAGGCATCAAGCAAGACAGTAGCATGGTTCTAAGCTAAGCATGGTTGCCCTATCGGCAATGAGCTTGCGAAGTAGATGGGAAAGGGCAGAGACCATTAGATCATCAGCCAAGCAAATGATTCACACAAATGTGTCGTTTCCAGCCTTCTACTCACAAGTGTTAAAGACTCAAGGCTCTTGCTTCAGCAACCTCATGTAGAAATATGCCACCCATTTCTACTGCTTTACAGGGAGCATCTATCATTTTCTAGATTCACAGTGACTGCAAGTAGTATAGCCTCAGCAAGGATTAACTTTCTATACTGTACGTTCTGGTATTTGCCCCAAGTACGATCCCTACACTTTTGCACTGAATTATTTGCATTTGGTTCTTTAATAATTTTTCCCCCACACTTTAATTTCATCTTTCTATCAGGATTTAAATTGCTTTGCCGGCGCCGCGGCTCACTAGGCTAATCCTCTGCCTGTGGCGCCGGCACCCCGGGTTCTAGTCCCGGTCGGGGCACCGCATTCTGTCCTGGTCGCTCCTCTTCCTGTCGAGCTCTCTGCTGTGGCCCGGGAGGGCAGTGGAGGATGGCCCAGGTACTTGGGCCCTGCACCCGCATGGGAGACCAGGAGAAGCACCTGGTTCCTGGCTTCGGATCAGCGTGGTGCGCCGGCCACAGTGGCCATTGGAGGGTGAACCAACGGAAAAAGGAAGACCTTTCTCTCTGCCTCTCTCTCTCACTGTCCACTCTGCCTGTCAAAAAAAAAAAAAAAAAAAGATTTAAATTGCTGTTACTGCTGCATTGCAAACTTCTCAGATCTTCTCTCTTGAGAGGGGAATTAAATTATTCTCTGGATTCTGAAGCTTTTGGGGTGACTACTTCAGAGACGGTTAAGAGGTTTTTTTCCTAAGCTCTTAGGAAGTTTCTTTTTGCCACAAAACTTTCTAACATTTTCATTCTAACTTACTACTATATAGACTAATTATTCAGGACTGTGGTGATTCAAACTTCCTTTCATAAGCAATTTATTTAGTTCTTTGTGGCTGATGGCACTATCGTGGAAGAAATCTGAGTACTGACAGTGATGCAAAGCATACCAAGGTTTACAGGACTATGTTGAGTTATAAAAACCACCTTTATTGGGGCTGGCGCCGCAGCTCACTAGGTTAATCCTCCACCTGCAGCGCCGGCACCCCAGGTTCTAGTCCCGGTTGGGGCGCCGGATTCTGCCCAGTTGCTCCTCTTCCAGTCCAGCTCTCTGCTGTGGCCAGGGAAGGCAGTGGAGGATGGCCCAAGTGCTTGGGCCCTGCACCCGCATGGGAGACCAGGAGGAAGCACCTGGCTCCTGGCTTCAGCTTGGTGCAGTACACCAGCCGTAGCAGCCATTTGGGGGGTGAACCAATGGAAAAGGAAGACCTTTCTCTCTGTTTCTCTCTCTCTCACTGTCTAACTCTGCCTGTAAAAAAAAAAAAAAAACACCTTTATTGGGACATTAATGAGCCAACTGAAGAATCTGAGTAAGGTTAAAAATTTAAATAAGAGTATCAATTTCCCAATTTTGATAAATGTACTATGACTATGCAAGAAAATATCTGTGTCCAGGAAATTCATGCTTAAAAAGTATTTAGGAGCCAATGGTCTTCAATTCACTTTCTAATATTTGAGAGAAAACACACTCAGATAAATATATATATATATATTTATATATGTAGAAAGAATGACAGCAAATGCTGCAAAATTGTTAACATTTGGCAAATTTGGAAGAAGAAGATTGAGGTATTCCTTAACTATTTTATCAACTTTAAGTGTGTACTTTGTCAAAATAAAAGTTTAAAACTTCTGGGGCCAGCGCTGTGGTGTAATCGGCTAAGCCTCCGTCTGTGGCACCAGCATCCCATATGGGCACCAGTTCATATTTTGGTTGCTCCTCTTCTGATCCAGCTCACTGCTGTGGCCTGGGAAAGCAGTGGAAGATGGCCCAAGGCCTTGGGCCCCTGCACTCGTGTGACAGACCCAGAAGAAGCTCCAGGCTCCTGATTTCAGATGAGCCCAGCTCTAGCTGTTCCAGCCATTTGGGGAGTGCACCAGCAGATGGAAGACCTCTCTGTCTCTCCCTCTCTCTGTAACTATACCTCTCAAGTAAATAAATAAAAATCTTTTTTAAAAAAGGTTTAAAACTTCTTTATTATTATTATTATTATTGACAGGCAGAGTGGATAGTGAGAAAGAAAGAGAGAAAGGTCTTCCTTTTGCCGCTGGTTCACCCTCCAATGGCCACCACGGCCGGCGCGCTGCGGCCGGTGCATCGCGCTGATCCGATGGCAGGAGCCAGGTGCTTCTCCTGGTCTCCCATGGGGTGCAGGGCCCAAGCACTTGGGCCATCCTCCACTGCCCTCCCGAGCCACAGCAGAGAGCTGGACTGGAAGAGGAGCAACCGGGACAGAATCCGGTGCCCCGACCGGGACTAGAACCCGGTGTGCCGGAGCTGCTAGGTGGAGGATTAGCCTATTGAGCCGCGGCGCCAGCCACTTCTTTATTATTGTTACTTAAACTTATAGCTTCATGGGGTGAGTATTTGGCACAGTGGTTAAGACAGTGACTGAGATGCTCGTATTCCATATGGGAGTGCCCAGGTTCAAGTGCTGGCTCTGCTCAACTCCAGCTTCCTGCACAAAGCATCTTGGGAGGCAGTTGTGATGCCTCAAATGGTTGGGTCCCTGCCACCTATGTGGGAAACCTAGATGGGGTTCCCAGGTCCCAAGCATTTGTCTGTTTCTCAAATAAAATGTTTTTAAGTTGTAGCTTCAAACTTTATCTTTTCAATTGAAATAGCTTTTGCAATACTATAATTTTTGTTAATAAATAAAAGATATCTCTGGCTTACAACTATAACATTACAGCAGGTTGGGTAAATTTCTATCAGAAAGAAACAGAACAAATCTGTCACCTCCCCTACTTTAAGTATTTAATTGGAACAGTGTACCATTCCTTGAGGACCAATACCCAAAGGTGGTATTTTGCTATTCATATCACAGTGTAGATGAATATAGAATTTGCTATAAACTCAAGCCCATATGACCAGAAATAGAATTAACGGTGGAAAGAACACATATTTGGGAGTCAGACCTAGGTTCTAACCTCAGCTTGGCCATGTACTTAACCTATCTGAGCTATGAAAACCATTACGACATAGTTAAGTGCTCATGAATGTTAATTCACTCTCTCAAGTAAAGTTATTCTACTTCTTTCTAAAGTAGCAGGTAGAGAAAAAAATAAATAACAATTTTCAAAAAGAAGTAAAGATAGAGAAAAAGCAACTTATATGGGCAAGGAAGCAGATTGAGAACCCTAATGGCTATGATAGGCTATGTGTAAACAGAAACTATAAACATCAATTTTGTAAATTTCCTTAACACTTTTGAGTCTTCAAAATAGGAGTATACTGGATAGCACTGGTACTTAGCAGCCAGAAATTTTAGTTATAGTGTTTTTTTTTTTAATATCAGTCCACTATCAGACGTTAGTCTTCATTTTCTGAATATATATGCCAAATGGCATGCTGAAATTTTATCTCTTACTCCTTTATTGCACTTATTTATTTTTTATTTGAAAGGCAGAGTGATAGAGAGAGGGAGAGAGACAGAAACACTGAAAGGGAAGAAAGATCTTCTACCCTCTGGTTCACTTTCCAAATGCTTTTAACAGCCAGGGGTTGGCCAGGCCAAAGCCAGGAACTCCATCTGGGTCACCAAAGTAGGTGGCAGAGACCCAAGTATTTGAGTCATCATCTGCTGCCTCCCAGCTTGTGCATTAGCAGGGAGCTGGATGGGAAGCAGAGCAGCCAGGACTTGAAACAAGCACTCCAATATAGGATATGGGTCTATCAAGCAATGGCTTAACTTATTGTACCACAAGAAAGATAGTATGGCATAAGTCATTACTTCCAAATTATGGAAAAATATATCAAAATAATGACATCTATTTAAGGATAATGAAATTTTGGTTTAAAATAACCATAGCCTACATAATAGAGCAGGAAAAATGATACTCATTTCTGAAACCAATAAGCATTGCAAATTCATAATACTTACCAACATGCGAAGGCCAAACAGTTATATGAGGATGGGAATGATACCATCCCACAACTCTCATGGGGCGACCTGTTAATTCAGCCAATCTGTGTGTCTGTCAAGGCGATTTTCAAAAGGTAGAAACAAATTTCTGATGCTAATAAAGACTCACAAAGCATCCTAAAGTTTAAAATAAAACCTATTTAACAAAGGTGATACTCCGAATTTCCTATACTTCCCATTTAAAGCCAAAGATGTTTTTTAAGATTTATTTTTAACTATTTATTTGAATGGCAAGATGACACAGAGAGAGGGAGACAGGGAGAGAGAGGTCTTCCATCCAGTGGCTCACTCTCTCAACTGGCTGCAACAGTCAGGTCTGGGCCAGGCTGAAGCCAAGAGCCTCGAACTCCATCCGGCATCACTCTGATGTGGGTGGTAGAGGCACAAGTATTTGAGCCTTGTGCCACTGCTTTCCCAGGCACATTAGCAGGAAGCTGTATTGGAAGTAGAGCAGCCAGGTGAAGCCAGTGCTCCAATATGGGATGCCAGCATCATAAGTGGTGACTTGAACCACTGCACTATAATGATGGCTCCCAAGGATTTTTTATTTACTGTGGCATCTATTAATGTACATACTTAAATCCTCTTAACCCAATTTGGCTAATGGTTGATCACTCAAATCCTCATAACTGTGCTACCTGAAAAGCTCATCTGAATCTTCAAAAGTCACTTCCATTACGACATTGAGAATCTTCTATTTAAGAAGCTGTCACTTCCTAGACTGCCGCTGTTATCCTAGGAAATGTGATTAGTTTTCTTACAAATTACTTACTTTAAAACATAATAATTCTTTTATAAAACTAATTCTGAGAAATGATACTTTTTTATGGAAAGTTTTCATTTAATGAATATAAATTTTGTAAGTACAACTTTTGGATTATAGCAGTTCTTCCCCCCATACCCACCTTCCCACCCCCAAACCATCCCACCTCCTATTCCCTCTCCCATCCCATTCTTCATTAAGATTCATTCTTAATTATCTTTATATACAAAAGATCAACTCTATACTAAGTAAAGATTTCAACAGTTTGCACCCACACAGACACACAAAGTTTAGGGGCTGGCGCTGTGGCATAGCAGGTAAAGCTGCCCTCTACAGTCCAGCATCCTTTATGGGTAACGGTTTGAGTCCCAGCTGCTCCATTTCTGATCCAGCTCTCTGCTATGGCCTGGGAAGGCAATAGAAGATGGCCCAAGTCCTTGGGCCCCTGCACCCACATGGGAGACCCAGAGGAGGCTCCTGGCTCCCGGCTTTGCATTGGCACAGCTCTGGCCATTGCGGCCAGTTGGGGAGTGAACCAGCAGATGGAAGACCTCTCTGTCTCTGCCTTTCCTTCTCTCTGTGTAACTCTGACTTTCAAATAAATAAATACTTAAAAGATATATTTTTAAGAAAAATTATTTAACTTCACATGTATCTACCCATGTGACAAACTATTTAACTTCTCTTAGCCCATTTCCTCAGCTGCAGTGAAGAATAAATGAGATAATCCACACAAGGCATTTAGTATAGTGCTTGGCAACTAGTAGGTGCTTAATAAGTGGTAACTGCCATGGTAAAATTAATGACATACAATAGTACCTCCAGCCATCATCCCCATTTTGGGAATGCACTAGTTCTAGTTTGAAGGTATACTATATAACCACATAATAAATATCCTTTATATAATAATGGTCTAGAATTTTATTTTCGCAGTTGTTTTTAAAATACCAGTGACTTGGGCCGGTGCTGTGGCTCAATAGGCTAATCCTCCGCCTTGCGGTGCCAGCACACCGGGTTCTAGTCCCGGTCGGGGCGCTGGATTCTGTCCCGGTTGCCCCTCTTCCAGGCCAGCTCTCTGCTGTGGCCAGGGAGGGCAGTGGAGGATGGCCCAAGTGCTTGGGCCCTGCACCCCATGGGAGACCAGGAGAAGCACCTGGCTCCTGCCTTCGGATCAGCGCAATGCACCAGCCGCAGCGCACCAGCCATGGCGGCCATTGGAGGGTGAACCAGCGGCAAAAGGAAGACCTTTCTCTCTCTCTCTCTCACTGTCCACTCTGCCTGTCAAAAAAAAAATACCAGTGACTGGACTTTCTGCTTCTGGCCAAGACAGAGTAAGAGGGACTAGACTTATCTCCCTGCCTGAAACAAAGAAATGACAAGGCCAAGCCGATGGGAAATAAACAAGGTGACACTTGAAAGGACATCCAAGCAGGGGAAGAAACCATTCCCAAGGAACTCAACACCGTCCAGGCACACAACTCACATTAATTTGTTTAACAAAATAGCACAGAACTATATACTTTGTATCACTATGAGACAGTTCTATATAATGAGGTAGACAATTCTAAAGATATACGGTTAAGTTAAAAAAAAAAAGATGAATACCATATGTATGGCCTATCCTATGTATTAAATGCTTTTTTAAAAAAGAAAATAGTCATGGATGATTCTATATATACTGAATTCATCCATAATGATACATGAATAACTGCTAACCCTGGTCATGTCTAAGGGAGGGTCACTGGTAGAACTGGGCACTGAAGTTGAGGAGAAATACTTACTTTCCATGCCTTTTTTATACATTTTAAAGCTTATCTTACAAATGCATACTATCAATTTTAAAAAAGGACTTTCTAACTGACTAGAATGCCACTGATGCAAATTTAACTTGCTATAGCTAGGGTATATCATCCAGATCATAGGAAGCAAATATCCTCTTTGATCACTCTTCAATTATATTTTACATGAAATGTCATATTCTTTTTTTTTTTAAAGATTTTACTTATTTGAAAGTCAGAGTTACACAGAGAGAGAAGGAAAGGCAGAGGCAGAGAGAGAGAGAGAGAGAGAGAGGTCTTCCATCTGCTAGTTCACTCCCCAACTGGCCACAACGGCTGGAGCTGTGCCTATCCAAAGCCAGGAGCCAGGAGCTTCTTCTGGGTCTCCCACGTGGTGCAGGGGCCCAAGGACTTGGGCCATCTTCCACTGCTTTCCCAGGCCTCAGCAGAGAGCTGGATCAGAAGTGGAGCATCCAGGACTTGAACCAGCACCCATATGGGATGCTGGCACTGCAGGCGGTGGCTTTACCCACTACACCACAGCACCGGCCCCTATATTCAATTCTTAGCACTGCATTTTTTGAGGGGAAGTCTCCAAAAAGAATCTTTCCAAAGGATAGAGACCAAGATCATGAGAGGCCTAGAAACTAAATATGAAGAAAACTGGAAGGAGCAATAGGGAGCAATGGAGAGGCATGGAGAGGGGAATGGAGCAGGAAAGGGTGGTGAGTATACTATTTGCCTCCAGCTCTTTTGGCTTTTAGGAGCAGTAACGTCAGAAATTTCTCATTTTAAAGTAGAAATATGAATTCTGACTGACTAAACAATTAGGTCTAATGGGTAAAGGTTAAAAGTTGTTAACAGTTACCAGAAAATTTGTGAAACCACCTAAGCAGACCATTATAGCCCAAAGCCCAGAGCATGTGAAAGCTTTTTATTGACCAATAAGGATATCTCTGCCTCTGTTGACGCTGCAGACAGCTGCTCTGGAGAAATTTCTACTCGGTCTTTCCTCTTATCAGAACGTCGCAAGATGATGACAGAATGAATGTGAACAATTCTGACAGTGTCAACCTAAAGGAAAAGCCACAAAAATGGTTACACATCTCCATTCAATTACAGAATCACATATATTACAATATCAGGTTAAAGATTCCATTTTAGATGATGACAGTTTTCTCATGGATAATGGAATGTTTCAAGTAAAAGACATCCAACCTCAACACACAGGAGTACATATAAGAAACAAAACCCACAAAGCTAATGTTTAGATCAAGGAAGTTCTTTTTGAGTGACCAATTAATAATTATTTGATTTACAACCATGTGTAAGATATTATATCACAAAAAGGAACATCAACTGTTCAAAAGTACTAATGATATGATTGAACAGCAAGTAACATATGAAATTACATATATGAAGCTGCACTACAATAATGTAGGAAATGAATGCTTTGAGAACTCAGAGGAAAGGAATCACTTAGGTTACAAAAAAAAAAGATCTAACCTAGTGTATCTAGTCCTCAATTGCTGTCTGTCTCTCTGTCTATAGCTAGATTCTTTCTACAGGTGCAACATGAGTGTATGACCTATGAAAGTAGTAAGGTATGAGTGAGGTTGAGAGACAGGTTGGGCAACTGACATAAATACAGAGCTTGAGGTACAATGGAAGAAGACTGTGATGAGAATGTACAAGGTATCAGATGATCTGCAGAATGAACTGGAAGAATGGGAATTATTTTAGATACAAGTAATGATAAAGTCCTAGACTAAGGAAACAGCTAAGAAAAAGAAAACTGATTTCAGATTCATCAAGAAAGAAGAATCTTTTGATAGCTTATGAACCATGGATGATAGAAAACAGGAAATCATCAAAGATGACTCTCAAGTTTTAAGGTTAAAATGAGGTGACCCATGGAAGGCAGATCTAAATTTAGAAAGGGGAAAGAAGGAAGATGAACTCAGTGTCAGATGAGCTGATCTGGGAAGAGAGGATGTAAAATATGGCAAAGTTTAGGAGGCAGGTGAGATTATAGCTTATGCTAAAACAGATTCTGTGGGGAGTCAAGCTTTTATTGAGTAGATAAAAAGCTGTGGAGAGAGGGAACAGAGGTCTGGGCATGAATCAAGAAGGGTGCACACCTTTAGGATGGCATAGAATCAAAGGGCCCATGGAGAAAGAGGAGGCAAAATTGGAATGATAAAATGGTTCAAGGCTTTCAGGGGGAAAGGATGGGCCTGGCATTGTCAGATGTTGAATGGATAAGGCTGAAATATTTTTTGTTTTGTTTAGCTTTGCTTTGTTTTTGTGAGGCTGAAATCTGACAAGAGGTTTTTTTTAAGATTTATTTATTTATTTGCAAGGCAGAGTTACAGAGAGGCAGAGGTGGAGAGAGACAGAGAGAGAGAGAGAGAAAGTCTTCCACCCATTAGCTCATCCCCTAAATAGCCACAATGGCCAGAGTGGAGTCAATCCGAAATCAGGGTCTCCCACATGGGTACAGGGGCTCAAGGAATTGGGCCATCTTCCACTGCTTTCCTAGGCCATAGCAGAGAGCTAGATCGGAAGTAGAGCAGCCAGGACTAGAATTGGCACCCACATGGGATGACAACACTGCAGGTGGCAGCTTTACCAACTACACCACAGCACCCCAGCCAATAAGAGGTTTTTGAAGTATTCTACAGACCTACACTGTGCAACATAGCAGCCGTTAGGCACACGTGTCTACTAAGCCCTTGGAATGTGGCAATTCTGATTTCAAATGTGCCACAAGTATGAAATAGAAACAGGAATTCAAAGACTTAACACAAACGAGAAAGAAAAAAAACAATGTAGAGTATCTCAATACTTATTAACATGGAGTATATATTAAAGTAATCCTTCATACTTTAAAAAAATACACTCTTAAAATTAATCTCAGGGGCTGACACTGTGGCATAGCAGTGCCGGCATCCAATATGGGTGCTGGTTCAAATCCCAGCTGCTCCACTTCTGATCCAGCTCTCTGCTATGGTCTGGGAAAGCAGCAGAAGATGGTCTAAGTGCTTGCACCCACATGGGAGACCCAGAAGAAGCTCCTGGCTCTTGGCCTTGGATAGGCCCAGCTCTGGCCATTGTGGCCATTTGGGGAATGAACCAGTGGATGGAAGATCTCTCTCTCTCTCACTTTTTTAATCTTTTTACTGTGGTTACTAAAAAAATTTATATACATAGTTCATATTAATACTTCAAATTATACAAGGATACATCAAAAGGTTCATGGAAAACTGAATTAAAAGATAGGTTTGGGTGCAAAACATTTGAATTCTATGCACAATGTCTTCAGAATATGCTTTCCTTGAACATTCTGAAGATACCTCATATTTCTCATTAGCAGACAAGCAAAGATTTTAACTGTTTTCTATATATAGATAAACAAAACTTTTATGTTTTCTGTAATCTGCTTACAACTTTAAGTTTTTCAAATACATAAGTAAAGAGTTGTACAAGTGATTATCTGTTAAAAAGCAGTAGTAACCCTGTATAGCATCTCAAAAGACTTTGTTTTAGCATTTTCCCCTATCCACTATGTGATCCCATTCCATGCCTCTGTGCCTCTGCAGCCACCGCCCTTTCTATCTAAAAGATAATTCCTACATCTTTTTTCCTTACCTTGTAAACTCTTTCATGTCCTTTAAATTTCTTGATAATCCTATAATTACCTTCTCTTCCATGAACAGTTATTTCTGCTAAAAGGTATATCATCTTGTGTTGTTTACTATTTATTATACATAATTTTCTCCCCTACTAGAATGTAAGTACCTTAAGGGTAAGGACTATGCTGTGTTTGTTTTTATACCCAGTAATCAGTACAGTGTCTAGCAGGCACAGAGTACACACTAAAAAAAATTAAAAGCAAAGAAGATGCATGATCTTCCAATAGAAATAATGAAAGGAAAAAGAGAAAGGGAAAACACTTTAGGGTACCAAAAGAAAGTATCTTCCAACCAAGAATGCTATACTCAAGGAATATATCCTCCAAAATTGCAAGTAAAATAAAGACATTTCAGATCCACAAAAGTGGAGAGAATTCATCACCAGCACAGAAATACTAGAGGAAGGAAGAGCAATCACTAAAAAGGGTAATTATGAACTAAAATGAAAGACAATGGTAATCCAAAAGGTAGAAGTATATAAATAAAATTAAAATGTTCCAAGGATCAAGTACAGATGGTCCCTGGCTTATGATGGTTTACCTTGTGATTTTTTGACTTTATTATAGTTGTGAAAGCAATATGCATTTGACAGAAACTATACCTTGAATTTTTAATTTTTAGCTTTTCCTGGGTGAGCAATGTACAAATATGTGACAGCAATCTGCATCTTCCAGTCAGCTATACATCATGAAGATTATCAAGTGATAGTCTACAGTATAATATGTAACTAAGCATGACATTTGGTAAGTTAATGCATTTTCAACTTACAATATTTTCAGTGTATGGTAGCTTTATCAGGGTATAGACCTATTATAAATCAAGTAACATACATATTATTGGGGAAGTAGTAAACATAATCACAGATCAAGAATGCATATTGTAATATGTAGGATAACCATTAAAGGGAGAGCAATGAATGTTATAACTAATGGAGGGTCAAGACGAAATAACATACTTAATTAAACCAAAAGAAGGCAAAAAATCAATACCAAAAAAGTGGGTCTGGGGCCTGTGCTGTGGCACAGTGGGTTAAAGCCCTGGCCTAAAGTGCTGGCATCCCATGTGGGCACCGGTTCTAGTCCTGGCTGCTCCAATTCTGATCCAGCTCTCTGCTGTGGCCTGGGAAAGCAGTAGAAAATGGCCCAAGTCCTTGGGCCCCTGCACCCTCGTGGGAGACCTGGAAGAAGCTCCTGGCTCCTGGCTTCAGATTGGCGCAGCTCCGGCTGTTGCAGCTATCTGGGGAGCGAACCAGCGGATGGAAGATCTTTCTCTCTGTCTCTACCTTTCTCTGTAACTCTGTCTTTCAAATAAAATAAATCTTTAAAAATAAATAAATAAAATAAATCTTTAAAAAAAAATAAAATCCCCAAATTAAAAAAAAAAGTGGGTCAAATAGAAAGCAAAAATATGGCATTATAACCCATATCAATAAGTACATGAAGAGTAACTGGACTAAATGCTACAAACTAAAGATTATCAGACTGGATTTTTTTTTAAAAAACTGTATGTTACTAATAACAGACATAATTTAAATATTAGTATACTGAAAGGGCAGAAGTAAAAAGATAAAACAACTATTACTCTGCCAACACTAAAAAGATAAGGTCACTGAACTCAGGAAGTTTAATATCAAATTTAAATGGTATAACTGACATAAAAGTTAAGATGAGAGTATGAATTCTTGAAAATGAATATATTTTAGCAGTTGATGTCCAGGAAACACTGCAAAACAAAAAACCAAGCAAGTTCAGAGTTGCAAGGAGAAAGGTTAAACACCAAGAAACCACCCATTGGATGTAGCAATGAAGTGGCCTGAGAGGTAGAGTTTGAAGCCAGATCTCAGTGGATTTGAGAGGACAGGGAAGAAGTAACAAAAGTGGTTTATTCTTTCAAGAAATCTGATTATAAAAGGAAGTATATAACAGTGATCATAAGAAGATAGCGGATTGAGAAGTTTTTCTGGCATACTCTAACCTTTCACAGTCTAGTATAGTGCTTCTTAGGTGACAGGGAAGAAGGCAATGTGGTTGGGGTGAAGTTCATACATAATGGTAATAAGTAGATGAAGTTCTTGTCAGATAGTTTGGTGGGAGGGGAGAAAGTAATTCATTTTTATTGTATTTTACAAAAGTATTTTATCTGTGACATATTAGAGAAAAAAATCACTGGTCCTATACCACCAGTAGGCTGAGAAGCATTATACCAGACCATAAAGGCTAGAGTATGTCAGAAAAGGCAGAATGGGAGCACAGACAGAAGAAAAGTCAAGGTATACTAAGAGAGGGGCTCAGGATAGAGACAACAGCAATGTGAGCAATGATCTCAAGGAAGATGGGAGAAGAATCAGAAAACAGGAAATGAAAGAAAGCGAGTGCTATTGATAGTTATTACACAACCTGATCAAGTAACAATAATTTGCTAATAAAAAAACCCAAATAGCTCTTATTCCTTCATCTGATTTGACTGAACCACAAAGTTAAATCATCACAGTACAGAAATCCCTCCTAAGCTGCCAAGTTCCCATCATATAAAATTTTAGCACACATACCTTTTCAGCAACTGTGCGCATTTCTGTTCCAGTACAGGCAAATTTGGAGTCACTCCTATTGGAGATAAATTAGAAAAAAACGGGACTGGGGATTTGAATATTTAAAAAGGAATTAAAGTGAAATAACAAGATTAACACTTTTTGCAATGGAACCTTAGCAGATGAGGGCATGGGAACTAGTACTAAAGCTGTACTCAGACATTTGTGGAAAGTATTGTAGGCTACATGCACAAGTTATTAAAGGCAAAGCCAAATTTTTGGAATTTTAGGTATTAAGGATGTAAGTTTGAGAAGTATACTATGGTATACGTTGAAGTTTAAATAGTCACCCAAAGGTTTAACTATGCCAAGCATTTAAGCTACTGGGGATTTGTGAGATCTGGGGAGGCAAAAAGTCAGTGACAATTTGCATGGAGGAATGGATGAACACAAAGGCAATTGCTGGTATCTCACTGACATTTTATGGGAGAAGACTTAAAATATATCAAGCAAGAAAATGAAAAATAATAAACAAATGTAAACTCTGTTACAATATACTCCCTTTATTTATGTCCAGAAAGAGGTTTCCCTAGCCATATTTCTCACCTAGGAGCATATGTACACAGATAGACACACACACAATCTGAAGTGAAAATTCTTCTATAAGAAAGGGTTGACGTGAAAGTCAAAATGTATCATTGAGGGAGCTTTGGAGTCATAATGGTTACTTAAGATACAATGCATAATATTTGTTACATTTTTCAGTTAACAATCATAAGAAATGCATAAAGAAATATAGTCTTACCTTGTGTCATCATTCAACTAGAGTGGAAAAGAGTAGAAAACATTATTGATCACATTACACTTATGTCATGTACAGGGCACAATTACATGAAAAGTAGGCATGTGTTCGCGCACAGTAGCATTGTAGACTGGAGACTGGAAACAGCTACACTGCATTTCCTCATCCTCTTTCTTCCCTCTGCACCATTTCAAGTAGTGGAAACTTTGGCTTCATTTGAAACCCCCGCGGTTTGTAAGGTTGTTGGAATCGGTTAATATGCTTTATGCATACCTGTGCTTCCCTCGAGGGAAGAGCAGAGGGGAAGCAAGGGGCTCTAGCCGCGGTTTCCTGCTTCCTAATACCCTTATGACCTTACTATACTAGCATGTCTTTTTGGTCTGACTTGCAGTTTTTGCCAGTGGGGTAAATAGCCCCAAATCTAAAGAAAAGCCGCAGGCTAAAGAGAGCTTATGCAGATTGCTGGGGGCTTGAGACAGAGCCTCTAAAGGTTGTGCAAGAATCTAAGTCAGGGGTGCCTATGGACTCCATGGTCCTGGTGCTGCCGGCCCCCACCCCGGGACCACACTGGGGCGATTCAATAGGGTCCCAGCCAGGCGGAGTGACCTACTCACCTCCCCTATGCACAGCCCCATCACCTCTTCCTTCTCTGTGCTCAGAGCATGGTTGAGACAAACTAGGAAAGCGTCAGACTCGAGGTGAACCGCCTGCACCGCCTGCACCACCTGCACCGCCATCTTGGTCAAACCCTGTTCACGTCCGCCTCGGGCCCCTCCAGCCTGACCAACCGGGTGCTCCGGTGCGGCCTCCCCCGCGCTCTCCGCTCCGCGCTCCGCCCTTGTCTAGCCTTCAGCGAGCGCGAGTTCTTCGGGGGCGGGGCTTGGGCATGCAGGGCGGGGGTGGGTGGGTTACGGGGGCGGGGCGGGGCCCAGGGCCGATGCGCGGGGGCGGGGCCCACCCAGCAGCACCTGGGAAACACCGGTTGGGGCAGGCGTGGCCGTCAGGACGGAGGGCGGTGGCCAGTTGGGGTCGAGGCGACAGACCGAGCGACGGGGGTGGTAGGGAGGGGGCGCTCTCGAGCCACGGGCGGACGTTCGGTCTTGTGAGCGGCGCCCAGGCGCCTCTTGAGCGCCGGCGCCCATTTTCTCCGTCCGCTAAGGAGAGCCATGCGCGGCCTACATGCTTCAGGGACAGCCCTTTGAGGCGACATCGCCACGGACGCCAGCCTCTTGAGCCAGGGAGACTGTTTTTTCAAAGTCGGTCCTAAACAGTTAAGGTTTTATTTTCTTTTCCTTTATTTCCAAGTCGCAGTCTTTGAATCTTGTACAACTCTCCCTGGACCACTTCCGGTTGCCGGCGATCGCCTGTAACTTCGGTTCCAGTGACCTCGGCCCGGGATGCCCCCCGGCTGGCCCCTGGCTCACGTCGCGATCCCGGCTTGAGTGGCCTGGGGTGGGGGACCTGGAAATTGTAGCCTAGCTGTTGTTGAAGCGGAGTAATTAGCCCAAGAAACATTATATTCATGTGAGTAACCTTTTGCAGAAACAGTGCTATACTGTATCTGAAAAAGTATCACTCTTAAGCTTGGCTTCTGCTACTTTCAACAAAGGCCTTTATCTACTTACTTGATACAGGAAAAGGGGAATTGGGGGACCTCAGTTGTATTCAGTTTGTATCCAGAATACAACTTTCCTCAGCATTCCTTGTCTTGATGATATGGTGAAATTATATGTTAAAAAAAAGTTTTATTTGAAGTATGGCAAACTTGTCCTGGGGCAAAACTTAAGATCTTTCACCGCACAACTTGACGAATTACATGAGGAATTTTGGCGCGATTCTAAACCAAAGAAAACTATGACTATATGTCATGCTGCTGCCACAGCCCATCCGCATTTATGTTTGTTGATTTGTTTTTCTATTCCCTATGTAGTTTTGAAGCCAGTACTGGAAAGGGAACATTCCCAAGGTGTTAGTTGAAGAAGCGTTGATGCTTTGCACTTTTCTCCCAAGTCAGTTCCAACCCATCTAGCCACAAATACTGCTCCCATCCAGGGGGACTATCTGTAATGTATCTGCCAGCCACCTCCAGATTTACCTAATGCTTAATATGGCACGTATTTCCATGATTACTTTTGATAATGATGAAAGCTGCAAAATTTTCAAGGGTGCAGTTATATTGTACCCATCAAAAATTTTATCTGAAGTATTGCTCTTAAGTCATATATCATTTCCACTTTCTATTCCTTGGCTAGTCTGCTCTGCCCTGATGGGGCAAGAATGTCTGTTCTTGTTATTGTGTTTGGTGATAGGATATCTTTCAATTTAAAAAGAGCCTTCAGACATGCTTAAGGTTAAAAACACCTTTTCTTTCTTTTTGGTTTTAGGCTCATTTCAAAATTACATTCACTATTTTAGTGCAGATGGATGCCTTTTATAGCTGAAAACATTCAATTGTAATAGAAGAAAACTATTTTAAAAGTATTTCATTTGAAAGTGAAAAAACAAAGTGAATAGACAGACAGAAATCTTCCATCCATGCTTCACATCCCAAATGACCTGGCGGGGCCAGGCTGATGCCAGGAGCAGGAAACTGAATCTGGGTCTCACACATGGGTGACAAGAACTGAAGTGTTTGAGCCAACACCTGCTTCCTCCCAGTGTGCACATTAACAAGAAGCTGCATTGGAAATAGACCTGTAACCAGGCATTCTGATATGGCATGCTGGAGTCCTAGGTGGTGGCTTAACTGCAGCACCAAATAGTCATCCCAGAAAAACTATTAACATGTAAAGGAAGCTTATAATGTGCTAGACATTCTACTAAGCACTTATATGCCTAGTGTATATAAATTGCCCAAAATAAAATCAGGGTTTTCAACTTCCCAGCTGTGTGACCTTGGACAAGTTACCTAACTTCTGTATGCCTTACTGTCTTTCCTTTATGTGGGGATAATAATTGTGCCCACATCATATTACCCTATGAAGGTTATGAAAATTAAAGGAGTCAATATATGTAATTTAATTCTCATTTTATACATTAGCACACTGAGGTGGAGAGAGATTAACTTGTCCAAGATTAAAAGATAGTAAGTGACAGAATCAGGATTTATTTATAGGCCAGGCTGATGCCAAAGCCTGTGTTCTTGGTAATTTCACCCTTTATAATGGGATGAGATTATTAATTGGCTTCAAATAAGTGCATTCAGTTAAGTAGTGTTTAAAAACTGTTCAAACACCTGGAAATCAAAGCAAATCATAGTTTGTTTTTTAAAGACAAAATAATTCCTTCTTCATAGTAAAAAGAAATGTTTTTTCTTAAATTGCTACCCAAGGAAGCACTTCTGTGTTATTTATCATCAATTTACAACCTAAATTACAAAATACCAAATAACAGTAAGTCTAGGCCAGTGTGGTCTGGCCATGGTATCAGTGTGACTCCCACAGAACAATGTCTTTTAACTGGATGATAATGCTATAGTTATCTAATCACTTTTTGGAATCCATTTGTATTTGCAGCTGTTAACATTCCATCACTTGCACAAGTTCATAGTCCATGTATTGGATTGCATTTTGCGCCTAAGTTTATACTGAGGTTTTAAGAAGTCCATCTTAGTTCAAGGAGTCCTGAACTTGTAAATAAGTGTTATGTGCCAAAAAAATGTTCTGTAGTCAAATAAATTTGGGAAACATTAAACATCATAAAGTTTCTTTATGGCATAACTTGCCAGAGTTCTTACAACCCAAATGTGCTTTAATGACTCTCTGAGATTCCCAAACTTATTTGACCAAATAAAATGTTGAGAGCAAGTTTTCTAAGAATCCCATTTAGGGAAATGGTGTTCCATTCAGAGAAAGTGTGATTTTTATAGGCTAATGATCTAAATCCTTCTCACTCAGCTTTTGCATTTTTCTACTGAGGATGTTGATAGTTCATGCTTTTATGATGGCTTCTCTGGATCTTCCTGCACTCTGAATGGGGCACACACAAGTCAGGATAATGTGCTGAGGGTTGTTCACATGCTCATCCTGATGAGAATATATTTTTTAAGATGTATTTATTTGAAAGAATTACAGAGAGCGAGGGAGAGACAGAGAGAGATCTATGTGCCCATATGGGATGCTGGAATTGCAGGCAGTGGCTTAACACAACAACGGCCTCAGTTTCTACTTTGTAAAATAGTAGTTGGTCACAGTTAATATCTTGTGTTTAAAATCTAGGCTTTAATATATTTTATTTTGTCATTACTCTTTACTGGGTTTTTGTTTATCTCTCCTTTCCAAAGCTTTGGAGAGAGAGAGAGGCAGAACTGCTAAATGGGGAAAAATGAGTGAAAAAAATACGTAATAGAGTAGCAACAAGATTATGCCTAGACAATTAATCTCTACCAATGGTTAATCATAACTGCCACTCTGGCCTTCCTTCATTTCCCTCCCTACCCACCATACATATATTCACCTTCTCACAGAAACATTGTATGAGACTAAGAACTATATCACTATTGCTGTTGAACAGCATACCATATGTATTTGGGAGGAGAAAGGACCTATGAAAAGAGCAAATTAAAATGTGCAAATTGATTTATAATTAGGATATAAATCTTTACTTTAGCTTAAACATAAATGTTACAGTAGCAACATTTTTTGGAAGGCTCTGGACTGTTCAGTAATAGTATTAAGACAGGTATAGAGGCCTGGGGAGGCATTCTAGGCATTTTAAGCAATGGAACTAGAATATTAGCCTGGTATTTAGGGGAAAATGTATTTCAAATACAATGGTAGTGGTGGTGCTTGCTGGAATTAGAGATGATGTACACAGTGAGTCTGCAGGTTCAGGAGAGGTGATATTGACTTGGTTTAGGTCAATTTGTTAACTTTTTCCTGGTCTGCATTGTGGTAGGAAAGGTAGAAAGAAAAGAAAATGGTGCTATTGAATCCAGAGAGGTTTTTTTGCCCCTCTGCCTTGGAAAATTCAAATTGAAACCTATGCCTTTATGGAGAAAAAGACTTCTGTAACATCCTGCAGGATCATTAAAATGAAACAAGAACCTGGATGGATGACTATCATTTGCTGTCACTCATCTTCAAATCACCATGGCCCCTACAGGCTCATAGCTTAGCAATTCCATGAGACTACCTTAAATATTTTTCCCTACATGGAAATTGCCTTCAGGAAATGGCCAGCCGCTGTAAGTAACCTGCCTTAGTTAACTTATAAATAGGTCCTTTGCCCTTAAAACAAACTTTTTATTTCAAGTTAGAAAGCCAGCAATATTATTTGACCTTCAAAATGTTACCTTTTAAAATGGAAAGTGCTCAGAAGGGGCTTTTACCTGGGGAATGTATGGCATGCACATTCTATGGCCACTTACTGCTTTGTGAATTCACTGCCCAGCCTCCTGTAGGGCCTGTCCCGCATTTCCACTGAACTCCTCACCTATCCAAATTCTTGAATGCTTTCAGTTAAAAGTTAGCATTACCCGAAATCTCTACCTCAGTGTCCCTTCAGTTGTCTTGCAGGAAACTTCAGATGCCTTTGATTTTGTTTAGTGTACAGACATGTATGAAGTTTGATTCTGGTTGGTGGTCAATAGTCCCAGGTCCCCTTACTCACTGCTGAGTGCATTCAAACCCAAAAAGTCACACCTGTGTCCTGTGCGCGGGTGCTGCAGGCTTAGGTGGAGAAAAGCAGGGCTAGAATTGGAACCCAAAGCCCAGAATGGCAGGAGAGGATGTGGGGGCTCCACCCGATCACCTCTGGGTTCACCAAGAGGGTATCTACCGCGACGAATACCAGCGCACGTGGGTGGCCGTCGTGGAAGAGGTAACTTTACATTTTGCCTATTTGATTTTTGTTTCATGCAACTTGGTTTCTATCCAGTCTCGATATTCTGAAGTCTTTGGCTTTATTTTTGATCATTCCTTTCCATTAGGAGACGAGTTTCCTAAGGGCGCGAGTCCAGCAAGTTCAGGTTCCCTTAGGTGACGCAGCTAGGCCAAGTCACCTTCTTACCTCCCAGCTACCTCTCATGTGGCAACTCTACCCAGAGGAGCGCTACATGGACAACAACTCTCGCTTGTGGCAGATACAGCATCATTTAATGGTAACATGTTGCTTTATCATTTTCCATTTATTTTGGGACTCCTTTATAGCACAGTACTCTATTAAACTTGTCTTTTTCTGACAGGTCAGGGGAGTACAGGAGCTGTTGCTTAAGCTTTTGCCTGATGATTAACCTGGTAAGTATTTCTACTGCTTCTCATTTCCCACATTGTTTTCACTCTATTCAGTTGTGGTGATTTTAACGATTTTTTTTTTCCAGGTGCTGGGATTCTAGGAAGATATGCTCCTTTGTTCTGTTCAGTATATGGCAATCACTTCATCCACTACTGCAGTGCACCCACCCTTGTGCCTGGCGGGAGGGAGTGGGTTGAAAAACTGCTCACAAAACAAGTTTAGGAAGGGTCATGAAGACTACTGCAAGTGAAACTGCAGAGAGGGTTACACAGGCAGAAAGTGAGTCAACAAAAGCATTTAGTCAGGATACTTAACTTGAAATTGACTCCTTTGGAGATTGCCATAGAACCTTTAATGGACATCAGCGGCTGGAACTGGGATCTGATGAGTCCCACAAAAGTCAGCACCTGCTACAGAACAGATGCCCTGATCACCAAGGACTTGGTCTGATTTAGAGAGAAGAGAGCAGCTCCTAGCAGCATCAACATCTATTTGTCGCTTATTTGCCCTGCAACAATTCACCTGCCTTTCCTTCTCCCATCCTGTAAATATCCTAGATTTTCCTCCAGTGTTTCCCATCCCAGTACTGACCTAATTTGGATCTACTGCGAATTTAGGAGGCTTGGGGGGGGGCATTATTTTTATTGGTGAAATTAGCACAAAGGCTGCTAGGCCTTTATTTGTGAAATTTTGCCTTCAAATTATTAGAGCTACTGATCAAAATAGTGGGCACTTAAATTCATTCTGTGGTTACAGATATTTTAAACAAGCTGATTTCTATAAAAGCTCAAAGCACTTTTTAGCAGCTTAACTGCCACCTTTTTCAGGAAGTAATAGCACCAAATACTGCTGATTCCTAGGGAAGCACTGGCTACTCTAGCCCGACATTGATTTATAATATTCAAGACAAGTTCTCTGAATTCAAGGTCTTTTTCCATGTAAAGCTCTTTTCCAAACCTAATGAAATGGATATTATAAAAATACAGTTGATTCACCCTATGAAGGGAAAGAGTATTAGTGTAATTGTTTTCCAGCAATTGTAAGGGCATACAGCTGGTCTAACAAGAAAATTCCATGGAGAGGGGCTTTTAAAATCTTGATGGAAAACAAAATAAAAATCATTTTTCTTGTTTTAGTTTTCTGGATATGCCGCGAAAGGATCCGTGCCAGAAACAAGCCTGTGAAATACAGAAATGTTTACAAGGTAGTATGTAGAATATTTTTAAATCTGTGAACTAATTGGAAAGACTAATTATTCTTTTATCAGCAACATTTATTAACTTTTCTCGGATTTTAACATTTCTGTAATTAACTTATCCTAAAAATTTTCTACACTGTATTACCAAAGGTGCAAAAATAAAACGTATGTGACCTAATCTCAATCCTGGTTGTACATTAGAATTACCCAGAAATTAAATCAGACTTCCTGGGACTAGGTTCCAGGTAGGAATCATTCTAGCTAGCATAGCCAGAGTGAGCTGAGCAATCTGGTAGAATGGACTTTGAAAATACAATTGGAGTTCAGGCTGCCAAAGTCAGCAACTAACTCTTAAAAGCAGAAGTAAATTTCAAATAAAGCATATTTGATGTGATTTGTCCATTTGGCTTTAAATCAAATGGTAAGTTTGGCCAAATCTTAAAGGGTTTTTTTTTAATCAGCAAATAATCATTGCCAGAGAGTAAATGGAAAAGCCTACATGCTGTCTGAATTTGAAAATTGGCTTTTTCCATTATGAAAGTAATAGATGGAAATGGATTGATCATGAGAGTTTTCCTTACATTTTAATATTGGGGAAAAAATCATCAAAGTTCCCCCAAGATCCAGCACCAAAGAAAACCCTTGCTTATTTCTTTTAACATTCATTTTTGGATTTTTATGACTCAAGCAATATTTTATAAATTCTTTTATAATCTAAATGTTAATTTATAACTTTAATGCTACTCTTCTTCCTTCAACCTTAAAAATAAGTGAAATGTATTTTTTAATATTTTCTATCCCAAATTTCTATAGCTGAGGGAAAAAAATCAAGTTAAAAAAAGCTGGTTACACCCCCCTGGTAGAGTGTAGGAGGGATGACAAGCACCACTGTAAGGGCTTGGCTGACACCCATTTTATGGATAAGGGCAGAGAAACCAAACTTCTGTAACTCGTCCAGGGTCAAAAAACTAGTAAGGGTTACAAGGTGAATTTAAACACAACTTGATCTGATCCCAAACCTGAACTCTTAGCCATGTTGCTATACTCCTTCTAGTCAGATTTGTCTTTCTATAATTCCCATGCACACTGTTTGGTCTTGGGGTACTCAGACCAATTGCATCTGACTTAGAACCTTTAGGTCAACTCCTCCTTAACTTACATTTTATGTATAGTCAGAATCTATAAATGTTTTACTTGTAAAGGGTCAAACAGGTACTATTTCAGGTATTGGAGATCATAAGATCTTTTTTGTATACTCTGTATTTACAACCTTTTAAAAATCCAAAAGCCATGCTTAGCTCCCATCTGTTAAAAGAAAAATAAAGTTGAACTTGACCCTCAGGCTGGACTTGGAGATATCCTGTTTCTTTCAGTGAAAAGCAAATGAGAAGCACTGATCTAAACTTTCCTGTACCTTCCTCCTATAAGATCATGACTAGGGTCTGCCTGTCTGTTTTTTCAGCCAACAACTACGTGGAATCAAAGTGTCAGGCTGTCATTCAAGAACTGCGTAAGTGTTGTGCTCAGTATCCCAAGGGAAGATCTGTGGTCTGTACAGGATTTGAAAAAGAAGAGGAAGAAAACCTGACACGGAAGTCTACAGCAAAGTAAATTTCTACTGAGAAGTTAAACGCTGCTTCATGTTTCCAGCAAGCGAGTTTTATTTATCCTCCTTCCTTGAGGCCAGGTAGCAGCAAACAGCAAATGAAAAAGTCAACTCTAAGAGAATATGCTGTCTATGCAGCACAGACAGAAAAATGTATTAAGACAGCTATGTAGAGTGTAATAAAACTAAGCTGCTAAGATAACCCTGTGTAAGTGAAAATTTTATTTTGGTATTAAATGTATTTTAAGATGATTTGATATAGTTATTTGTGAATTCTCTTTAGCATTTGAATTCAGACTGATATAATTCATAAAATGTGATATGAGGCTTCTTATGTGAAAGGACTCATCCCTCCAGTATCACAAATCCTGACACCATTCATTGATTTCATGCTAAATTTATTCAGATTCATTTAACCCAACTCAATACCTGATGTTCTTCCAATAATGCAAAGTGTCTTTCCAGATGCGAGTAAGAGCCTGCCTTCTGCTTTTACACCCCTACCACAATGTCTAGCCAGGGGGAGGTGCCTAATATTTGTTCAGTCAGTGGTAGGCGTAGAAATGATTTTTTTGAAGATTTATTTATTTGAAAGGCAGAGTTATAGAGGCAGAGAGAGAGTTCTTTCATCCTCTGGTTCACTCCCCAAATGGCCACAATGGCTGGAGCTTGGCTGATCTGAAGCCAGGAGCCTGGAGCTTCCTCCATGACTCCCATGTGGGTGCAGGGGCCCAAGGACTTGGGCCATCTTCCACTGCTTTCCCAGGCCACAGCAGAGAGCTGGATCAGAAGTGGAGCAGCCAGGACTCAAACCTGTGCCCATATGGGATGCTGGCACTGCAGGAAGTGGCTTGACCCACTATGCCACAGTGTCAGCCCCTAGAAATGATTCTTGCAATGTCTAATGATCCAATTTATCATGAAGGAACTGAAGATTTTCATTGTATGGCAGTGACAGAATCAAAAGTCTTACGTGGCTTATTGGTTCTTGATATCTCATAATAAAAGCCTTTTAGAGTAGATCCAGGCAGGTGTCCCCTCAAGCTTTCCTCAGATGCCCCAACAAAGAAAGAGATGACTTTGTAATAATGAGATCAAATTCTGAAAGCTCCCTGATGTTCAAATTTGATTACTATTTGAAGCCAACTGTTACCTTTTAAGCAGCATTCCCCAAAGTGTCTGTAATAGGGAAAAAAGCCTGTGGTCAGATGTTTGAGGAATGCCAGTTTCCTTTCCTGTCAGACTTCTGAGTTTTTCATACAATGTGAATTATGAGTCTTCTGAAAGAACTGTCATATGCAGTCCTTGCCAAAATGAATCCTGTTTTGCAGACAGCATCTCTTCAAGCGATTGTTTTCCAGAAAGACTTGGGGAAATGCTACCTTAGAGACAGACATTTGGTCCACAAAGCCATGAACTCTTAATAGTAAAACAATTTAATAAAACATTTTTGCAAGTACAATGTGTATACTATCAAGCTAAATTACACTTATCAATTGATACTGACACTACAAGATCAAATAGGCTGCTTTTCTGTTTTATAAAAATTATTTTAACTGTTAACAATTTAAGTTTCACACTGTTTTAATTGTCTTTCCTAATGTTTAGCACTCTATTTAATTTTGAAAGATTCAAATCAATTGTTCTTTCCTTTAAAACTGTCCTGATTTAGTTTGTGTCAACACATCTACTGGAAGAACATCAATTTAAATCTTCTTCTCTTTACCTATTTTTATGACATACCGAAAAACAGAACCATCAGAGAGGGCTTAACATTTACTGAGTACTTTTTGCATGTTTAGGGACCAAGATTAGCACTAAATCTCAGGCTTCAGGGAACCATTTAGGAAGGTGAGAGCTCTGCTCTCATCCTCTGCTTCAGAGATAAGACTCTAAACACCTGTGAGTTTAGTCAGTTAATGATTAGCAGAACTCTTACTTGGAAAACTAGTTTTCCCTTTGTGGCAGGTAATTCCATACTTCATCTTAGCCAAAAGGCCGAGAAGCAACTGTGACAGGTAATTTGTGTGTGTGTGGGGGGGGGGGGTGCTGCTTTGGTGCCAGGTGAGTATCATTATCCCACAACTTTTCACCCAATAGTTAGCGTTCACTTATGAAAAAAGCCCTTTCTCTCCCATTTGGCCACAGTACAGCAACCCCAGCAGTACTCCAGACTAATGAAGTCAGAATCTGTAGAATGAGAGTCAGGTGATTGGTATGTGCAAGCATGAGTACCACTATTCTCAGTAATCATGTCTTTCCTTACCATTTCATTTTTTAAGAGTTATTTATTGATTTGAAAGGCAGAGTTACATAGTAACATTAGCTCCCTGCTAATGTGTACCCTGGGAAGTAACAGGTGATGGCCCAAGTAGTTGGGTACCTGCCACCTGGATGAAGTTGTTATAGGCTCCCAGCTTCCGCCTGGTCCAGCCATAGCCATTGTGCCTGTCAAATAAATATATAGATCTTTGTAAAAGAAATTTATGGGGGCCAGGGTTATGTTGCAGTAGGTTAAAAGCCCTGAACTGCAGTGCCGGCATCCCATACGGGTGCTGGTTTGAGTCTTCCTGGCTGCTCCACTTCCGATCCAGCTCTCTGCTATGGCCTGGGAAAGCAGCAGAAGATGGTCCAGGTCCTTGGGTCCCTGCACCCACGTGGGAGACCACCAGGAAGAAGCTCCTGGCTCCTGGCTTGGGATCAGCTCGGCTTTGGCCATTGAGGCCATTTGGGGAGTGAAACAGCAGATGGAAGACCTCTCTGTGTATCTACCTCTCTCTGTTAACTCTTTGAAATAAATAAATCTTAAAAAAATTATGATCCTTTTAAGATTAAAAGCATCACAAATGTAAGCCATGCTGTATGATTCCTAGGAAATTGGGTCCAGAACTAAAACACATTTTCTTCCTAATTCTCCAAGAGATCACGCTAATGGTGCGTAAGTCACTGAGCTAGGGCTGCCAGCGTGGTGTTATCACACACCTGCCAGCAGGGGGAGCCAAAATCACTAACATTCAAAGACAAGTTTCCTGGGACCTTATGTATTAACAATTGCTCAATCCTTATGTCCCATTTCACCTCCTAAAGCAAAGCTGCTGATCTATTAAGGCCTAAATTTAGAAGTTCTCCTAAATGCTTGAGCCTATTTCAATGATGGCTCAGTTAAACCTACAGTACTGACTGTAACAATGCCCATCAGGGTCTTCAACAGTGACTGATAGATCTTTCAGATGACCAAGACAGATCTAAGACCAAATTATTATGTATTACAACCTGCTCAAGGAAGTTTAGAGTGCCCTACCAATCTTTGCTGCCCTTGCCAATAATCACAGGGAAAACACATGGACCAAAAGGTAACTCTCAGGGCACTTCAGTTAGCTTTTGTTGTCACCATTCCATTGGTGTGCTAAGTCACACAGTAGAGTTAAATGGCTGTAGCCATGATCACCATATATGGCATAACCAAGGGACCCAGGCATCAGAACCAGGAGGTGGGGAAGAAAAAAATTGAGACCAAATTAAGAAGATTAAAAGAGACATAAACCAAACACAATGTGGACCTGGGATGGCTTTTGATTCAAATTAAACATAAAGCACTTGAGAAAAGAAAATTTTGAACAGCAATTAGGTATTTGATGACATGAAAGAATTTTTGGTATAAGGTGTTAACATTTATAATTTTTAAAACCAGTTCTTACCTTTTAGAGATAGATACATACTGAAATATGATCAAATGATTCTTTGGAATTTGTTTCACAATTGCTGATAAAATAAACATAGCTATAACTTGATGGTTATTGTACAATGACACCCCCACACATATCTATCACCTACCTACAACAACCATCATATTATACAAAAAATTAAATTCTTTTAGAAAAATATAAAGATGCACATAGCATTATGATTTGGGGATGATTCATACATATATATATATATACTACAAAGAAAATGTTATGGTCCATTAAATATTACTATAATGTAATAAAGAAATGCAAACAGGAATTGACACGCTCACTGGCAGTGACTTAAATGTTATATTTCATAGGAGCTCGGTAAAGAAATAGTAGAATTGGCACACAGGAACTAAGGCAATCCCTAATGCTTTGACAAGATATGAAAAATACTTCCCATTTCATAGCTTAAAACATTTTCTATAAAACAAAAATAAAAATCCAAGAAACAACTTCTCTCTCCCACTGAGATCACTTGTTTTTATATATAAGTCCTTTGGAAACAGCCATAAGATGTATCAACATTCCTGGGCAGTATCTTCATGGCCCTAAATTTCTGGCCAAGTCTGACCATCCAACAAAGTATTTCTAGCAGTTGGTTTCTGTAACGATCTTCCTGCCAAATACAATACCTTCAGCACAGCATATACCTTTAGCACAAGTTGATTTCATATTCAGATTGTTCAATTATAGCACTTATGCTGCCACTTTTGTCAGGATAATTGCAGCAGGTATAATAGATCTATTTATATCATCTAAAACCAACTAATAAAAGAAAGTAGACACCAAAATCTTTCATGCTTAGACAACTGTATTCAATTCCTTTCCATGCAGCACATAATAAGGTATCTATGCGCTAACATCTCTCCATCCTGCAACATTCTTGCTGACCTCAAGACTGGCCAGGTAGGGAGTGTACTTGGAGGAGAGCTAACATCTACTGTCTCTTCCGTAGCTGTCTACCAGTAGTAGAGCTGTATCAGCTTCTACCCACAGATGCCTATGGAAGCCATTCAGATTTTCCATGGCAGAGAGGAAGAAGAGGAGGGATTTGATATCCTACGATTAAGCGTAAAGGCTGCTGGCTGGAAAAAAAACAGAAACAATAGAAGTGAAGTCATCTTCCTTAGGATGCCATGCCAAGCAGAAAGCCTCCAAAGAATCCCCCGGTCACTAGAACATTCTTCTTTACAAATGACACCACCTAGGAAGAGGAGACAGCATAATAGGTTATTTTGCTAAGCATGTTAATATTAGAAATCATGTCTATTACCTATAATTAACAGGTGAGGTCATTATTTTTCTAAACTCCCCAAGCTTCCCACCTCTCCTATACCACTTGAAAAACTTCATATTCATCTGAGCCTCAGAGCATCACTTATGCTCTATCAATCTCCTGAACATTTTGCTTAAAAAGTATTCGCATGAACAACAAATTCAGCATCCTGGTCTAATCACTTTTTGAACCCATGTACAGGAACTTCATATCCCAAGCACGTAAGCCTCTTCCAGCCTAACATTTCCCGAAACAAAGCCATCTGCCATTAAGGGAAAGGAAAAAAAATTACAACTTGTCTGCTTTCATTTACTATTTTTGACTTTCCCAGTTCCTACTCATTCCTCAACTTGCTGCAGTGTGGCTTTCAACCCCACCACGAAACTAAAACTGTTCTCACTGAAGTCAACCCACACATAGGAGAAAGAGCCCCTATATTGCTGGGGCCTGCAACACTGCCAGGCCATAAACAGGAACACAAACATTTGAGAATGAACCAATTCCAAATCTAGTTTATGACAAGTCCCTCTGTGAGTCAACACTTTTCTAACCAAACATTAACTGTATGCTTTTTATTTTTTGCACTGCCAGTATTATAATAAAAAAAGTTGTTTTCAATAATCACTACTTTTATAAATGCTTGAGAAGTAAAGTTTTAGTGAAAAAAGTCTAACCTTCAAAACCTTGAGATTGAGGAGGGCGGTGGAGAGAGGGAAGAAAGGAAGGGGACTGTTGAGCTGCTGGGCTCTTGTAGATGTCCACACTTTCCTGTCACCTCTGCCAGAGTGTGAATGCCACAAGGACAAGAGAACCTTCAGGGGATCCAACATATTTCTCCTCCTCAACACTCAATATGTCCCTAGCCCTGTGAAATGCAGCCACCTTTTTGCCACCCTGAACCTGCTTTTATTTCTACCCAATTCAGTGCACTTACTTCTTTATGGGTTACCAAACTACAACCTATCAGCCTAATCCAGGCTGCCACCTGTTTATAAATAAAGTTTTATTGCCACACAGCCACACCCACTTGCTTACATATCACCTACAGCAATTTTCACACTACACAATGCAGCTAAGTGATTGTGACAGCAACCATACGGTATACCAGACTGAAAATACTTACCATCTGGCCCTTTCCAGAAAAAAGTGTGCCAACCTCTCAGCTAGACCTTACTAGTAGTTATGTTTAGAACAAGTAGAGAATGAATGTTTTACAGACAAGTGGGCTGGGAGACAAAACATGACTCAAAAAATCACAATAGCAGTACATCTTTCCCACCCACTATCCCACCCCCATTCCTACAAGAACTAGTTAAAGTGGTAGTAGATCCCCAAATGTGCAGACAAGTACTATCTGTACCACTTTGCACTCTTACTCACTAACAAAGGTCACCGTGCACTACCCTTCAATTAAAAAAAAATGCCTCTGAGTAAAGATATTTCAACTACAGCTGACCCATCTATACAATATAGCTTTTGTCTCACTAACCCAAATTCTTTGTCATTTTTAAGCCTTTTCCATCACTGAAATACTGAAGTATCTACCCAATTTCTGCACACACAGATGTGCCTACACTTTTCATGTAGTGTATGTGAACAAGTCTCACCTCCTCTGCTTTGCTCTTGACCTCGGTTGGTATCTGGTTGCTCTTACGGATCTTCAGCTGCTCTTTGGCTTTCTTCATGTCCTTCTCTACTCGCTGCCAGTCAACTTTGATGTACCCAGTATGGTTTGCAATCTGCAGTTTGAACAATGACAACAAGAAATGAGAATCACAGGGCTGTTACTACTTTTTGTCCAGATTAATCAGGAAGTAGACTGTCAAAACTCTATGACATTCACTCAACATCCACCCTATAGGCCCTCTATTTCTCACTGGAAATAGACTGGCTTTCAATAACTGCTGGCAAATCTTTTAATCTATGTATTCTCTAACTTGTCCTTCACAAATTGTTAAATTACCTTAAAAACCAAAATGGTAAGTGAAAATCAGAATAGGGAGGTCAAGCTACATATGTCCTCCCCAGAGATTTTTCACCACTGACTTCAGGTACAGAGTAGTGGGAGAAGCACATCCAAATACAATTACAGAATGTCTAGTTTTCTTGATAAAAGCAGCAAGCACGAACACTAAAAATCAGTGAAAACAATTTTATCAAGAAATTCTGAAGAGGGTAACACTGACTCAAGTATGTAGTTTTCTGATGGATCACTGTTATCCAAAAAAGAATGATTGTAGCCCCATCAATCCACTATCATATATATTACAAAATCAAATATTATTTAGCCATGTCTGGCAAGCCAGACAAAAACTGCATGTTCTTACCCAGTGGAAGCTTTAAAAGTTGATCTCATAGAAGCAGAGAGTAAAATACTGATTATCAAAAGTTGGGAAGGGAAAGAGGAAGAGCAGGGAGAAATAGAGGGAAAAAAAAGGGCACCAAAATACACAGTTTTGGACTACAGTTACCCTATAGTGCTACAGAACCAAAGGAGAAGAATTTGAAGGTCCTAACACACAGAAATGATGTGCTCATTAAATATAGAAATGTATCAAATTATTACCATACCCCATAAATATGTACAATTATTATATCGACTAAAAATAAGTAACATACATACAATTAGAAAAAAATCAATATCCCATCAATATCACTCTGTCTACCAAGTTTTTGAAAAGATTTCTTTATCTGAAAGGCAGAGTGACAAAGAGATAGAGAAAGAGATAGAAAGTAAAAGATGGGGCTGGCGCTGTGGCATAGTGGGTAAAGCCGCCACCTGCAGTGCCAGCATCCCATATGGGAGCCAGTTTAAGTCCCAGTTGCTCCACTTCCAATCCAGCTCTCTGCTGTGGCCTGGGAAAGCAGTAGAAGATGGCTCAAGTCCTTGGGCCCCTGCAACCATGTGGGAGACAAAAAAGAAGCTCCTGGCTCCTGGCTTGGGATCAGCAGAGCTCCAGCCATTACAGCCATTTGGGGAGTGAACTAGCAGATGGACGAACTTTCTCTCTTTCTCTGCCTCTGCCTCTCTGTAACCCTGCCTTTCAAATAAATAAATAATTTTTTTTAAAAAAAGAAAGTTAAAGAGATCTTCCATCTGCTGGTTCACTCCCCAAATACCTACACCAGCCAGGTCTGGGGCAGGCTGAAGTCAGGAGCCTGGAACTCCATCTGGGTCTCCCACATAAGTAACAGGGACCTAAGCACTTGAGTCATTACCTGCTGCCTCCCGGAGTGCACATAGCACAGGGCTGGAATCAGGAGCCAATAACTCCATGAGTCTTCCATGTGGATGGCAGGGACCCAAGTACTTGGGCCATCTTCTGCAGTGATCTGGATTGGAAGCAGAGCAGCTGGAACTTGAACCAATGTTCCAATATGGAATGCAAGTAGTGGCTTAACCCTCTGAGTCACAACACTGGCCCCTGTCTACCAATTTTTGATCAGTCCAAAAATCTGCATTGTTGCTCCTCCTCTAATCCCTTTAATTTAATGGCACTGCAGCCAATTAGTCACCTAAACAGGCTGGGGAAATATTTTCAATGTATATCATAAACAATATATTAATAGTCATGAAAACAGTGAAGTTCTCACAGAGATCAGTAAGGAAAAAACCCACTTAAAATGAGTAAAGGCATTTCACAGGACAAAGTGGCTAAAAGAAAGGAAAATGTCCAAATTTACAAGTAATCAAGGAAATGAAAATTAAAATGAGTTATTATAATTTCTTATCAGTTTGAGAAAAGCAAAAGATAGAAAATATTCTATACTGGTAAGGTATGGGGAAATAGACAGTTATATACACTTTAGTAAGAGTATTAACTAGTAATCTTTTAGGAAAATAATAATTTTATCAATACTGAAACTACATATGCTGTACTGCTACATCCAGAATGTTAGCTGTTTTCATAGTATCTTTATTTATAATAGTCAATAACTGGAAATGACCCCACAGTACACCAATACATGAATGGACAAAGAAACTGTATCATGTTTACACACAGAATATTACTTAGTATTAAAAAGAATAAACCAGTTATAGCAGCAATATAATTGAACATCAAAACTTGCATGCTAGGGCCGGTGCTGTGGCACACTTGGTTAATCCTCCGCCTGTGGCGCCGGCATCCCATATGGGTGCTGGATTCTGTCCCGGTTGCTCCTCTTCCAGTCCAGCTCTCTGCTGTGGCCCGGGAAGGCAGTGGAGGATGGCCCAAGTACTTGGGCCCTGCACCCATGAGAGACCAGGAGGAAGCACCTGGCTCCTGGCTTCGGATCGGCGCAGCGCCAGCCGTAGCGGCCATTTGGGGGATGAACCAATGGAAGGAAGACCTTTCTCTCTGTCTCTCTCTGTCTAAATCTATTTGTCAAATAAAAAAAAAAAACTTGTATGCTAAATAAGTGGTATGGTTTCATTTACTCTATCCTGTTTTTCCCACGGAATCCTGCTGTCAAACTGACACAATAGATGGAAGATCAGAATTCAAAGCACCACTGGCTGGGTGCTTCATGTTCTCAGAACACCTGGTCTTGCCTCACAGCAGGACTCAAAAATATTTGATAACATTCACTACACATTCACCATATAATTCTCAGAAAAACAAGAATAGAAGGGAAACTTCCTGAACTCGACAAAGAGCATTTACCAAAGTCCACTGTACATAAAGGAATAAGGCAAAGGTGCTCATGCTCTCCACTCCTGTGCCACTGGATATGAAGTCACAGTTGCAGAGCAGTAAGGCAAGGAAATGAAGTAAGAGGCATCAATTTCGAAGGGAAGAGGTCAAAGTGTCCTATGCATGGACATCTTTGTTACATAAAGAATTTCAAAGAACCTAACAAAAAAACAAAACTAGAGGTAAACTAGAGTTCAGCAAGGTCCCAGGATACAAGATCAAGACAGAGGGGCCAGCGCCGTGGCTCACTAGGTTAACCCTCTGCCTGCAGCGCCAGCATCCCATATGGGCGCTGGGTTCCAGTTCCAGTTGTTCCACTTCCAGTCCAGCTCTCTGCTGTGGCCTGGGATAGCAGTGGAGGATGGCCCAAGTCCTTGGGCCCCTCATCCACATGGGAGACCAGGAAGAAACTCCTGGCTCCTGGCTTCGGATCGGTGTACCTCCAGCCACTGCAGCCATTTGGAGAGTGAACCAATGGAAGGAAGACCTTTCTCTCTGTCTCTCTCTCTCTCTCTCACTGTCTGTAAAACTCTACCTGTTAAATAAATTTTTAAAATGAACTGAATTTCTACATGCTAGTAATCTGAACTGGAAGTGGAAACTAAAAAACAATTTACAACATCTACAATAATAATCAAATATTAGGCATAAATCTAACAGAACAAATGGGATCCACATGCTGGTAACTATAAAATGCCAAAGAAATAACCAAAAGACACCTCAAATAAATGAGGACTTATGGATGACTCAACATAGACACCATGTCCAATTCTGTTGATTATCTATAGATTTAATTTCAATCCTAAACCCAGCAGAATTTTTATAATAGATACATTAAAAAGCTGCTTCTAAAACTTAGATGCAAAAGCAAAAGAACTAGAATCACCAAAATTATTTTGAAAAAGAACACAGCTGGAAGGATGACACTATCAAATTTTACTGTGTACTATAATGCTACAGCGGTGAACACAGTGTGGCATTGGAAAAGTGATGGACACATAGATCAAAGCAACAGAACAAGAAATACAGACACAAAAGCTACAAAAGGAGTATTGGTAGTAGTGAAGTCCCCCGCATAGCCCAAGCCAAGACTGCGAGGTAACTTCCTGCTTTCCTCCATGGCATTCCTGGCTGACTGCACTGCAGAAGCAAAGAAAGTAAGCCACAGAACACACCAGAACTCAGAAAAGCAGCCCCTTCCTCTGCAAAGTTCTTCTAGTGACTTCTCCTCGCAATGTTTATGCCATAAAGGAGAGATGCTGGAGTCCATTCTATGAAAGTTCAACAGGCTCATACAATTGAATACGCAGTGGAGACTCAATACACAACAACTGGTGCCTGTGGCTGAAAATACTGGCTGGAAGCTACAAGAAGTACTAGAAATGATCAATGAAAGCCAATTAAATTCATAAACATTGGGAAGGAAAAAACTGTTCACTGTTGGTATGAGTTCATAGACAAAAACAAAGACTAAAGAAATTTTAGTGAGTAACAAATCAGCAGAGTTAGATGTGTCACTTAAAAAATCATATCAGACAGAAGAGCAATTACAGCTATACAGTATCTAGGAATAAACTGTGGGGGCCGGGGTTGTGATGGAGCAGGTTAAAATGCCACTAGTGATGCCAGCACCCATATGGGTGCTGGTTCAAGTCCTGGCTGCTCCACTGCTGATCCAGCTCCCTGCTAATGTTCTGGGAAGGCAGTGGAAGATGGCCCCAGTCCTTGGGCCCCTACACCTGTGTGGGACACCCTGAAGAAGCTCCTGGCTCCTGGCTTCTGTCTGACTCAGACCTTGCTGTTACAACCAGTTGGGGAGGGAACTAGTGGATGAAGATCTGTCTCTCCTTCTTTCTTTATAACTGTGCCTTTCAAACAAATGAATAATTTTTTTTAAATCATGGCTGTGCAAAATCTATATAAAAAAGAGGTCTATTCATATAAATGGAGAAAAAATCCATGCTCACAGAGAAATACTTCAATATTATAAAAGACAATAATTCTTCTCCAGCTTATCTATATGGTCCCAATGCAATTCCAATAAAAATTTGAACAAGATATTTGATAGCAACTGAACAAATCTAAACTAAAATTTAGATGGATGAACAGAAGTACAAAAGTAGCATGACACTCTTAAAAAATAAGATAGAGAAATTTGCCTTATCCAATATCAAGGTTTAGTACTGTCTTATAGGTAGAAAGTTGGCCAGTGGAACAGAACAGAAAAACCAGAATCAGAATGACACATGCATAGACTGTGATATTCATATTCACTGCAAATACTGGGGAAAGGAACAATTCACTAAACACTACTGGGGCAATTATCAGTAAGAAAAAAAGGAATCTAAATCCCTACCGTCAAACTATAACCCTTGATCTCCCAGCATCCTTCACACACTCAAATTAGGAGAACTCTAAGTGGCATTAGGATATTTATGAAGGATGTGGAAGTCAGTCACAAGGATAGAGTTGTCTTAAGCGGAGAGAGGTATGAACAGGGGGCTTTGCCCTGCAAGGAGTCTAACCTGTCCAGCCACAAGGGGCCTGGAAAGGTGATACGTTACAAAGCAAGGACAGAAAAGGGGGTACAAGTTTCACAGGGTTCTGGAGCACCGCTATTGGGAGTCCTGAGGTCACAGTGGTGTGAAGAAGCCTAAAGTGGTCTTAAAGGAGCTATAAGATTATGTATTTCTGTTCCCATGCTATCAATGAAGAAGTAAAATGTAACTTGTAGTTGATAAAATCTTCCTGAAATGGTCATTAACATTTAACATAGAACATGAAAACAAGTGAAAAAAACAGTACTTTAGCATAATATAGACAAGGCTACATTACAACTCTGAACACCACATTCCTCAAAGTCAAATGGGATTTTCAAACATCTAGGAACATTGCTCATACAGACCTGAAGGAGAAAAAATCCGCCTCCTACAGCTGTTGCAGCCAACTTTCCAACCTTCTGGAATATGAAACCTGTGCACCTATAAAAATCAAACCGACATCAGACAAGTTGACAGGCTGTTTATACCCTACTTACCTTGACATGACCCAGCTCCTTCCCGCCCCCTGAATAAACAGGTGCATGATGTTAGGAAATCATGGCTGGGCTTTACCACCTACTAATTTTGTAGTGTTGACTAAGTCCCTTACAATTCTTATGTTGTATTTTTAAAAGATGACTCTGACTACACAGTGGAGAATGGATTAAAGGGGGAAGATGAAGGCAAAGACTTCAGAAGAGAAATGCTGGTGGACTGAGATAGAGATGATAAAGACAGAGCAGATATAAGAAAAAATAAATAAGGAAATAAATAAAGCATGGCTAAGTTTGACGATGGAGTGGTTTCAAGGAATAAGGGACAGTTTCACAAAAGTCAGTTTTATTTGTCTTCTTAAACTTGTTTTCGTTTTTATTTGAAAGGCAGAGAGAAACAGAGAGACAAAGAGAGAGATCTTCCATCTGCTGGTTCACTCTCCAAATAGTCACCATACTAGGCCTGGGGCCAGGCAGAAGTCAGGACCCCAGAACTAAATCCTGGTCTCCCACATTAGTAGCAGGAACCCAAGTACATGAGCCATCATCTGCTGAATCCCAGAGTATGCACTGGAATAAGGGCATCCCATATACCATCTTCACTGCTATGTCAAGAACCTGCACTATTAATGTGTTTTCATTGGCTAAAGAAGATAGTTCCTCATGCATAAGAGATACTGGGAAGTTTTTACTATGTTTAGAAGGTGGGTCTAGTGGGAAGTCCTTGGAAAGTACTTCTCGAGAGCTTATAAAAGCCAAGTGTACTAAAGGTGAACCAATACACTTACCATCCAGTAACCCCTCCAATTAACAGCTGGGTTGCTACACTGTATTTTTCAGTGGAGGGTCCAGATTCCTGCCCAAACAGCTTGCGCCACCATGGTTGCTTCTTTGCAAACTCTGCAAGATCCAGGGAATCAAAACTTCCCTCAAAGTTTCCTATAAGAATTAAGGTAGTAAATAAGAAAAAATTTCCTTTTACAACTCATTATCTTTCTGATGATTAGCAGCCTTTTAAAGAAACAGAGAGGTAGTTTCAACAAAGAACTTCTAAATGTTATTGTATTTGAAACAGTATGTTAACTCTGAAATTCTAGGTTGCAATTTTGGAAAAATTAGACTAAAATCACTAATTACTAGTGTCTGTATTAGAGAAAAAAGCTAAAACATGTAGAGTTAGGGTCTAGTTTTTATTCTCAAATTTAAAATCACCAAAAGGACCCTGAAAAATGCCAGTGATAGTTAAAAACGCACATTTAATGGAACAGATTTTCTTCACTTGCCTCTTCAGTAGTGACTACATAGTATTCATTAGTGCACAAACAATTTGCAATACTTTATGATTCTTCAAAGATGAGAGAGATAGGAAGTAATGTTTAATTGAGTGCTTACTTGTCGTCAGGATCCTATTGCTAAACAGAGCCATGAAAAAAGGTACAACGCGTAACTTAAAAAACGTGTAGTGCTGCGAATTACACGAAGGGAATTTCCCTTTAACTAACGACCTAACAAGACTATCTCAAGTATGGTACTTTTTCAACACCATTAGCGCACTTGGGAAGGCGCCTTGCACAAAAAATGACGCCGCCAGGCGACTGCAGCGAGTGTCCAAACGGACCAGCTGTTTCCGAGAAGAGAGACAGAAAGTCTGTTGAGGGCGGCGCCGGAAGGCCGTGTGAGCTCAACCGGAGACAACACCCGGGAACAGTTCAGTCCCACCCTGGTGCGTGACCTTGGCCGGACCCTGAGAGTGCTTGGGTCAGAGGCAAACCTTGGGTACCCTCCTCGCCCCCAGTTCCCTTGGGTACCCCGAGAACTCTGCAGGGACTGGCAGGTACGAAGTCCTTCCCTTCCGGGCCCAGGAAGGTGGCTCTCCGCAGCGACGGCTGCACGCACGCCCAGCCCTTACCTTGACTGGACGCGGCCATTTCGGCGAGCTTATCTCGCGAGGATACACGCAGAGGATCAGCGCGGTGCGACGCAGGGTGGCGCGCTGCCGCTGTCGCCGCCAGCTGGCTTCCGGCACGTGGGGCAGATGTTTCCATTCCCACGGCGACAGCGGAAGAGGGCGGGCTAGGTGAGGTGCAGCCCCTTCCCTCCCCCGGGGAGCAGTTGCGTCACAAGGCACAGCGGTCGCGTCACAGGTCCCAAAGCCCTCGGGCCCCGCCCATCAGACGAGTCCAGACGCGCATGCCCAGAAACCCTCCCGGAGGCAGAGCCGACTTTTGGCCTTTCTAGTCTTCTCACTTACTGGTGACTATCTCAGAAGCAACTGTGTCTGAGTCCATCACTGCTTAGTATTGTGGCGGACCGTCGCTAAAAGTAAAAAAGACGGGCTCATTCTGTTCGTCAATGTAAATATCAAGTAAGCACATTTCAGCTCTTAGCATCTGCCTGATATTCATTTAGTGGCGAAAAGCACATTCTAAAAGCGTTGCAGGGGCTGGCGCTGCGGTGTAGCAGTGCTGGCATCCCATATGGGCGCCGATTCGAGTCCTGGCTGCTCCACTTCCGATCCAGCTCTCTGCTGTGGCCTGGGAAAGCAGTAGGAGATGCCCCAAGTCCTTGAGCCCCTGCACCCACGTGGGAGACCTGGAGGAAGCTCCTGGCTCCTGGCTTCAGATCAGCTCAGCTCCAGCTGTTACAGCTAATTGGGGAGTGAACCAGTAGATGGAAGACTCCCCTCACCTTCCCCCACCTCTCCTCTCTCTGTGTAATTCTGACTTTCAAATAAATAAATAAATCTTAAAAAAAGAGAAGCATTGCAGGGGCCAACGTTGTGGCACAGCGGGGTAAAGCCCCAGCCTGCAGTGCCGGCATCCCATATGGTCGGCGGTTCGAGTCCTGGCTGCTCCACTTCTGATCCAGCTCTCTGTTATGACCTGGGAAAGCAGTAGAGGATGGCCCAAGTCCTTGGGCCCCTGCACCCACGTGGGAGACCTGGAAGAAGCTCCTGGCTCCTGGCTTCGGATCAGCTCAGCTCTAGCCATTGTGGCCATTTGGGGAGTGAACCAGTGGATGGAGGATGTCTCTCTCTCTGGCTCTGCTTCTCTCTGTAACTCTGTCTTTCAAATAAATAAATAAATAAATAAACAAAAGTTGCAACCACAGTAAGTCAGAGAAGCAGTCAGGAAAGCACTTATGAGCCTGCAGTACCCACGGAACCCTTTAATTATGTACACACACTGAACTGCTCCACCCTTAAACTACTCTTGTCATCCAAAACCGTGGTGCTATTCAAAGCCCATAGATAAAAATTCAACAGCAGCTTCCAGAAACTTCATCCTAGTCTCCCATTTGTGTAGCAGAAGCACAACCACTTGGACCACCATCCTCTGGCCCCCAGGAGCATTGGCAGGAAGCTGGCTCACAAGTGTGGAGTAGGAACTCTGATGCTACACCACAATACTCACCCCTACGAAGCCATTGAACCTTTCTACAGGTCTGTTTTATCTGTACCAATTTCACAATGTTGTCTTGATGATTAAATAAGAAAGTGCAGTGAAGCACCTGGCAGAGAATTTGTCACCAAGTATTGTAACTATCCATCCACCTTTCTGTCTCCCCGATGGCACTGTGATACCTATGGGGCGGGAACTGGGTTTTATTCATTTCTGACCACCTTAGATTAGCAGCATGACTTCTAGAGCCACATTATATAGGCTTGAATGCTATTTATACAAGCTGTGTAAGCATGAGCAAGTTGCCTAATTTCTCCATACTTCAGGGGCAAGGTCCCAGCCACTTTGTCAAAGCCAAATAGCAATTCAACATTTATTCTCTCTCTAATACATTCTTATTTGTGCATAACTGGACTCAATGATAATTTTTCTTATAGCAACCTGGTCAAGTTTGTTCTTATTAACTCCTATAGTTTCAGGACTTTGGGAAGGCCCATTATACCCCAATATACATTAACCAGAATACAATCTCTGCCTAAGCTCAACATGGCTACATTCTGATATGCAGAAATTTGAGGATCTTTCGAAAAGCTAATGGGAAACGTATATTATGAAAAGAACTATGCATGGATTTCAAAACTTTTTGCATTTTCCCACAAACTTTTCTTCTTCATATACTCTATATCTCAGCCAAAAGCAAATAACTTTAAAAAACACCAGATAGGCCTCAGAATCAGCCCTTAGGGCATTCAGATCCAGCTGAAAAGCCCATGAGAGTATTTCAGGCATGGAAAGCCAAGACACTCTGGCAAAAAAAACAAAACAAAACAAAACAAAAAACCTAAATGAAAGATCTCCGCAAGTGAGATCCCAGTGGAAAGAATGGGTCATCAAAGAAGGAGGTACCTTTCTCTGAAGGGAGGAGAGAACTTCCACTTTGACCATGGCCTTGTCTAAATATGATCAGAGTCGGTGAACTCAAAAGGCTTCCATAGCCCTGGCAACTCATGACTGGAGCCTAGGGAGATTACTGATGCCATAAACAAGAGTGTCAAATTGTTAAGTCAACAACAGGAGTCACTGTGCGCTTACTCCTCATGTAGGATCTCGGTCCTTAATGTGCTGCACATTGTGATTTAATGCTATAACTAGTACTCAAACAGTATTTTTCACTTTGTGTTTGTGTGTGGGTGCAAACTGTTGAAATCTTTTCTTAATATATGCTAAACTGATCTTCTGTATATAAAGAGAATCGAAAATGAATCTTGATGTGAATGGAAGGGGAGAAGGAGCGAGAAAGGGGAGGGTTGTGGGTGGGAGGGAAGTTATGGGGGAGGGGAAGCCATTGTAATCCATAAGCTGTACTTTGGAAATTTATATTCATTAAATAAAAGTTTAAAAAAAGCACCAGATAATGCAAAATACAAATAAATGCCACATACTTATCGAGAAAAATGGAGCCAAGAGGGATATTAGTGTCACTGGTGGTAAAGAACTTACAATGTAAATGTGGTCATATGGAAACCTATTAATCAGGCCAGACTTGAGCTGAGAATTGAATGCAATGGTATTTAACTTATTTTAAAGGTTGAGGTGTGAGGACAGTGTTCCTGTTTCCTGATTCACTTCCCAAATCCATGCAATAGCCTGACCTGAGCCTGGGCAAAGGAAGAACAGGAAACTCAACTCAGGTATTCCATGTGGTTGTGAAGGACCTAACCACTTGAGCCATCACCTGCCACCTCCTAGGGTGTGCATCAGCAAGAAGTTGGAATTGAAAGTCGAGCCAGGATACAAACCCAGACACTCTGATATGGAATGTGGGTATCTCAGGTGTCTTAACTGCTGCTCCCAAAACCTGCCCAAGAAAGCCATTTTAGGTTGAGGAATAAGTAGGTGTCACTCATGAAGCATGGGTGTTGCTAGAAGACAAAAGGTGATGCATGATATTTTAAGGAAGAGCATGGAGACCAGATGGCAGGCATGAGATAAGAGGTGAAGGGAAGGAGCATGCAGACCAGGCAGGATGGCTCTAAGTCATGCTTTAGATATAAAATTTTACCCTAAGGGAAGCCACAAGCCATCAGAAGATTCTGAGCAGAGTAGCATGAGTCAGTTCATATACATATATATATTTATTTAAATAACTCAGTGCCAGCTGGGTGAAGGGAAGGGTTGAAGTGTGGAGACTAATGGGATACTAGTTGCTCTTGTTTGGTGAAAGTGGGTTCTACAATCTTCAACAACGTCTGAAACTTCTCTTGCTGTTGCCACTAAGGAAGATGGTGGGAGTAAGCCAGAACATGAGTATGAATAAAAGTTCCTCTTCACCTTGACCTCTTCCTCCCTATCCTCTCTCCATCCCTTAAGGGTTGTGATTAAAACAGACTTCATGGACCCCTACTGCTCTCAGTGGTGAATGGGTTAAACTTTAGCTCAGCCTCCCTTTTCCTACTTCAGTTCTTCCTGTGGCTACTTCCCATTGCCAAAAAGGAAGTAATGCTATCAGTTACTGCTTAGTGTCAATGCTGCTGTCACATGCAGTGCGTAAACTCCCTAAAATTCTCTGCAAAAAAAAAATTGGGACTTTTCACTAAATCACCTTTTTTTTCCTCCTGGAAGTCAAAGATATTTTAGAGAAGAATTAATCTTTTGCTTCTTTTGTTGAAAATTTTCTATCAATAAGAGCCATGCAAATAGAGCTCTCCACCTGTTTCTTTGTGTGTATTTTACAATTGAGCTTTAGTGCCACCAGAAGATACTACCTGGGTGCAGTGGAACTGTCCTGGGACTATATGCACAGTGACCTGCTCAGTGAGCTGCATGTGGACACAAGGTAAAGGCATGTTCTTAGTGTCTGGTCGGGGTTCAGGATTGCGAGGACATGACTCTGGCTGGAGAAAGATACAAACATCAGGTTAGAGTGGTTGTGATGCTCAGGCAAGCCCTGAAAAAACTGAGGCATGCACACCTCTGTACTATCTAGTCTATTAGCTGAGATTTGTTCTGCTTTCTTCTTTGCTTCTTGTTGTCACATGATGCCACTCTAGAGTCTAGGGTAAGAAGCATAAGAAAGAGAACAAAATTTCCCTAAGCTTCTGTGGAGAAAACCAGGACAATGAAATTCATTCAATCTTACACGCAAGTTTAGTCTCTAGTTATGAAATGTATGCATGTGGTGTGTTTTTAATATCTTTGTCCATTTCTGGTGTAAGAGTAACATTAACCATGAGTTCAGAAGCTTTTCATCTTTTGGGGTTTCTGGTATATTTGGGTAGCATAGATTAATAAATAACCTTTCCAGTACTATCTATAGTTGTTGATGTATTTATTCAGATTTTCTATCTCCTTTTTAGTCAATTTTGGTGTTATATATTTTCCTGGAAAGCAATTTATTATCCCTAGATTTGATCACATATTGGTTATCAAGTTACATAGCAGTCTCATTTACGTGTCCTGTGTCTGCAGTTTTATCTCCTTTTTCATGCTTTATGTTGTGTATGTTCTCTCTTTTTTTATTTTTTGCCAAGCAGAGTTAGACAGTGAGAGAAAGAGAGAGAGTTATAGACAGTGAGAGAGAGACAAAGAGAAAGGTCTTCCTTCTGTTGGTTCACTCCCCTAATGGCTGCCATGGCCGGCGCTGTGCCGATCCGAAGCCAGGAGCCGGGTACTTCCTCCTGGTCTCCCATGTGGGTGCAGGAACCCAAGCACTTGGGCCATCCTCTGCTGCCCTCCCGGGCCACAGCAGAGAGCTGGACTGGAAGAGGAGCAACCGGGACAGAATCCGGCGCCCCAACCGGGACTAGAACCTGGGGTGCCGGCGCCACAGGCGGAAGATTAGCCAAGTGAGCCACAGCGCCGGCCTGTTCTCTCTCTTTTTTATACTCTTTTTTTTTTTAAAAAAAAACATTTTATTTATTTATTTGAGAGGTAGAGTTACAGAGAGTGAGAGGTAGAGACAGAAAGAAAGGTCTTCCTTCCGTTGGTTTACTCCCCAAATGGCTGCAACAGCTGGAGCTGCGCCAATCCAAAGCCAGGAGCCAGGTGCCTCCTCCCAGTCTCCCATGCGGGTGCAGGGGCCCAAGGACTTTGGCCATCCTCCACTGCTTTCCCAGGCCATAGCTGACAGCTGGATTGGAAGAGGGGCAGGCAGGACTAGAACCAGCGCCCAAATGGGATGCTGGCACCACAGGCGGAGGATTAACCTACTGTGCCATGGAGCCGGCCCCTTTTTCATACTCTTTAAAAAATAATATTTCCAAGAGGTTTCTTGGATTTTATTGGTCTTCTCAAAAAACATTCTGGTTCAATTTATGAATCCTTTTTTCTTTTCCTTACATCAGTTTCTGCTTTTACTTCCATGAATTCATTCCTTCTTTCTAATTTCCTGTAGTTCCTTTTGTAGTTCCCTTTTGTTTATTGAGTTGAATGCTGAAATAATGCATTTTAAATTTTGTTTTCTTTCAACATATTAATTAGTATAACTATATATTGTATATAATATTTAAATGGAAATATAAATATTACATGTCATACATAACCTTCTAGTCATTTTTGTTCCTTTAGCTCCCCATCCTCCTTTTACAACTATCTTTTCCTCATCTATCCCAGCCAGGGAAGCCCAGTATGATCACACATACTCACACACAGACACACACGCACACACACACATGCACGCACACACACACACACGAGAGGCGGGGGAATGAGATATATTCATCATGTATTCATCATTCATATGCAAATATAGGTTTTCATGGTCATTGTTTGTTTACCAAATGTGGGATATTATACATGCATTTCTCACTCACCTAATAGAATTCAGTTGGCATAACTTTAATTTATTCTTTGTAATGGCTATATAAGATTCAATGATATGGTTGTATTATAATTTAGTCAATGAACTCATCTTTTTTTCTATAAATGATAAATTTTGTTTTTAAATTTCATTTAAGTTCCATGTTTGCCCCAGACATGGCTTACAGACTGCTGACTTAATTTCTGCTAATGTTTTGTGCATGGATTCATTTGTATTACAAATAATACTGAACCTAATTATTGTATTTCCATTAACTTTCCTCCTTTTTGGAATTTTATGAAATGTTACACTTAAAGGAGCTGGAAAGTGTACTGACTACATGTCATAATAATTCTGCCACTCATTACTTTAAGTCTATGAAAAATATCATTGTGATCATTGTGAAAGATTTGCAGGTATTTTCAAGATTGTTGTTGATTGATTTTTCCCAGAAAGCTTTTATTTAAGGTATACAAGACTTCATGCATTTCATAAATACAACTTTGAGAGCATAGTGATTCTTCCCACCATTCCTACCCTCCCAACCACACACCCACCCTTCTTCCTCCTCCCTCTTCTATTTCCATTCTTCTTATTATTGTTTTTAAGATTTTATTTATTTATTTGAGAGGCAGAGTTACAGACAGTGAGGGGGAGAGACAGAGAGAAAGGTCTTCCACTCCCCAAATGACTGCAATGGCCAGAGCTGCGCCAATCCAAAGCCAGGAGCCAGGAACTTCTTCCAGGTCTTCCACACAGGTGCAGGGGCCCAAGGACTTGGGTCATCTTCCACTGCTTTCCCAGGCCATAGCAGAGAGCTGGATTGGAAGAGGAGGAGCCAGGACTAGAACCAGCACCCACATGGGATGCCGGTGCCACAAGCAGAGGACCAACCCACTGTGCCATGGCGCCGGCCCCCATTCTTGTTCTTTTAACTAAGACTTGTTTTCAATTAACTTTATACACATATGATTAATTATATACTAAGTCAAGAGTTCAACAAATAGCATGAAAAAGAAAACCTGTTCCTCAACAGTTGAGACAAGGGTTATTCAAAGTCATTGCATCTCAAAGTGTCAATTTTACTTCTATAGATTATCTTTTAGGTGCTCTATTAGTTATAACAGGTCAGGGAGAACATATAGTATTTCTCTCCTTTTGGGATTGGCTTATTTCACTAAGCATGATGTTTTCCAGTTTTATCCATTTTGTTGCAAATGACAGGATTTCATTTTTTACTACTGTATAGTATTCCATGGTGTACATATACCATAATTTCTTCATCCAGTCTTCAGTTGACAGACATTTGGGTTGATTCCATATCTTAACTATTGTGAATTGAGCTGCAGTAAACGTGGGGGTACAGATAACTCTTTCTTACGCTGTTCTCATTTCCCTTGGGTAAATTCCCAGGAGTAGGATGGCTGGGTTGTATGGTAGGTCTATATTCAGGTTTCTGAGGTATCTCCATACTGTCTTTCACAGTGGCTTTACCAGTTTACATTCCCATAAACAGTGGATTAGGGTACCTTTTCCCCCACATTCTTGCCAGCATTTGTTGTTTGTTGATTTCTGTATGAAAGCCATTCTAATGGGGTAAGGTGAAATCTCATTGTGGTTTTGATTTGCATTTCCCTCGTGGATAGTGATCCTGAACATTTTTTCATGTGTCTGTTGGCCATTTGGATTTCCTCTTTTGAAAAATGTCTGTTTAAGTCCTTTGCCCATCTCTTAACTGGGTTGTTTGTTTTGTGGTTGAAATTCTTGATCTATTTATATATTCTGGTTATTAATCCTTTATTAGTTTCATAATTTGCAAATAATTTCTCCCATTCTGTCAGTTGACTCTTCACTTTCCTGTTTCTTCTGCAGTGCAAAAACTTCTCAATTTGATGTAATCCCATTTTTCAATTTTGGCTTTGATTGCCTGTGTCTCTAGAGTCTTTTCCAAGAACTCTTTGCCTATGCCAATGTCTTGCAGAGTTTCCCCAATGTTCCCCCAAAATTTGAGGTATCATTTCATAGATTTAGGTCTTTGATCCATTTTGAGTGGATTTTTGTGTAAGATGTAAGGTAAGAGTCTTGTTTCATACTTCTGCATGAATGCACTCATCTTATTCCAGTTTTTTTGTCATTATATCTTATATCATTACAAACTGCTTTTCAACGTTTTTCTATAGAACAGATCTTCAGGAGGGATATTTCTGGAAACAAGGAATATTTTATTTTAGTTTTAATTTTCAAAATGGCCATAACTCTTCACACATTTGCACCATCACCTATGGGTAAGCCCTTCGCTCTGTAGGTTTTATTTAGTTTTTTTTTTTTTATTAAAAATTTATTTATTTATTTGAAAGGCAGAGTTACAGAGAGGCAGAGAGAGAGAGAGAGAGAGGGCTTCCATCTGCTGGTTCACTCCCCAAATGGCCGCAATGGCTGGAACTTGCCTATCTGAAGCTAGGAGCCTTGGTGCAGGGGCCCAAGCATTTGGGGCATCTTCCATTGCTTTCCCAGGCCATAGCAGAGAGCTAGATTGGAAGAGGAGCAGCTGGGATTCAAACCGGCACCCATATGGGATGCTGGCACTGCAGGTGGCTGCTTTACGTGCTATGCCACAGCGCTGGCCCCTTTATTTTGTTTTAAAATGCTTGCCAATATTATTGGTGTACAGTGATGATGCAGCATGCTTTAATTCTCTTCTTTTTCTAATGAGATTGAGAATCTTTTTAAATGTATATGGGCTATTGGATTTACCTGGGGGGATTTGACTATTGTGCTTTGCCCCTCTTTCTTTGGGTTATTTTCTTAAAAAATTATGAGAATCCTCTTATTACAAGTATTAACCGTTTGTCATGTGGAAATTTCTCTCAAAATCCATTGTTTCTCTATTGGCTTTGTTTATAACTTTTAACAGAAAAGTTTTTAATTTTTATAGTCAAATATATCTTCAGAATTGGTGAAAATATCTTTCACACCTCAAGGTTGCAAATATATTCTCCCAGATTTTCTTGCAAGATTTTTACTGTTTTGTATTTTTA